GCAGCTCGATTCTGCTGCTGTTCACAAAAGCCCGCCCTCCCGCCCTTGTAGATTTGCTTCTGGCAGTCCAAGGACGCCTTGTCAGTCTTACTGCGCGACCTTTGTGCAGGGCGTGTGCCTCCCCCCCATGGTCAGCTGCTGCTGCAGCTGGCCTGGGGAGATGAAACATGTGTGTGCGGCCCATTAAAACATGCGTGTGAGTGTGTGTCTTCCAGTGGTTGCGCGTGCGGTTGTAAGTGTTTTGATGCAGCGCATTTTGATCTCTCTCAGGGTTATGCTGCTGCTTGGGGGCCAGCTGGCCCCAGTAGCATATTGTGCACCTGCGCGTGTAGGATTGCTTGGCTCGTTGATCCTCGTTAAGCGATACAGGCGTGTCGATCTAGGGTTAGTTTCTCGGCCTGTCTGCACTGGAGTAGGTTTGGCTAATGGCCAGCGCGTGCGTGGCGGGTGTACCGGCTCGGGCTGGAATTGGCAGTACGCCCAACTCTCACATGTACACGCAGCTTGTGGCGGGTGTGCCGGCTTGGGCTGGGTTTGGCAGTACACCCAACTCTTACATGTACACGCAGCTTGTACTATACTTTAGCGTGTCTTGTGTAGCTTATGTGCAGGCAGTGCTTGGTGTGTGAGGGTTGTGTGGCCCATAGTTGCACTGGCCTGCTGTGATTGTAGCGTACCATAACTCTTTTTCTCCCCGCTGCCCGTCCCGGGGTGAGGGACTGCTGCCTTTGGGCATGTCCGACCAATGCAAAAGTAGCTGCGTGCCCCTTTGCATCATAACCGCTGCGTAAGAACGTGTGAGCTGTTGTACTTTAACATGTCTTGTGTAGCTTGTGTGCAGGCAGTGCTCTTGTGTGTGTGTGGGATTGAAAGGCCCAAAGTTGCACTGGCCTCCTGTGATTGTATCATAGCTCTTTTTCTCCCGCCCGCCCGCGCGGGGGTGAGGGACTGTTGCCTTTTGGGCATGTCCGACCAATGCAAATGTAGCTGTGCACCCTTTGCGTCATGACTGCTGCGTAAGAACGTGTGAGAGCTAACCCTCGACCCTAAGTCCACGTAGCATGTCTCACGCGTGCGACAGCCTGGTGTATGCCTTGTTGCTTCAGGCCTCTGCTTGAGTGTTCAAGGTGGTTTGGATAGGTCTTCTTCGAACCGTGATTTTGAATCTCCCGCCCGACCGCCCCAGATGAGGAAGGAGGGATGCCCCTTTTGGTTACACGTGCAAAGCCCAGCGCCGAGCTTCACAAAACCCCTCGTCTGCCTTCTTGTGCTTGCTTGCAGCCGCCTCTGTGTGGAGCTGTTGCGTGTCACAGCTGTTGTCCCGCCCGCCCGCCCACTTGCAGTCTGGCGCAATGGCCTGATCTGCTCATTGGGGACTCACGTTCGTCGTGCAGAACTATCACTTTACGCCTGTCGTCCGCTTCGGATAACGGTTTATCTCTGAGCCAAGCGCTAGAGAAAAACAAAGGTTTTTGTCACTTGAGCCATTTGGAAAACCTGACTTTGTAGTCTTGGGAAAAATTTCCACTTGTGTATTTTCACGTCGCCTTGCGCATGCCAAAGCTAGAGTGTTTCCAGTCACCCTGAGCTTGAACGCTTGACACTTCGTATGCACATGCAGCTGTGGGCTGAGGCGGAAATTTTTCTGTAGCTTAGGGTAGCTTGCCAGTTCCCAGTCGTGTGCTGCCTGTCACACACTGGACGTGCGTAGTGAGCTCTCATTCATTAGGCTGTGTATTGAGGCTCCGGAACCCCTGTTCTAGTAAGGCTAGGACCTTGCATGGACGGAGCCACTGTTCTTGCCAGAACAATTGGTACTCTTTTCACATTCAGCGCCTAGAGGTTTTGTGGCGTGATCTGCAGGCGCAGCAGTCCAGCTTGGCCAGTCAAATCCAGACAATTCGTCGCTCCATCCTGCGCATTCTTGCCATTGTGCGCCAGCAGCGCATCTTTCTGCGCCGTATCAGCCATCGAGTGGGCGTTCTGGAGGAGCGCCTTGAGGTTGCATATGCGCACACCGCAGATCAAGCAGACATCATAGCTGACCTCGAAAACGCAGTCAGCTCCCTGCGTGCCTTCCGGGCCCGTGCCCTTCAGAAGTTGGACTAGCTTTGCTTGATCCCGTGTCAGCACCATGCGCCCTGCCCCTGAGCCACCCGTTCAGCCTGAATCTTCGGAGAATAATGGGGTTTCGGTTTCTGATTCAGGTGCTGTTGATTCTGGGGGTTCTGAGTTTGTGGTCGCTTGGTCGCTGGGTCCGCTGTACCCGCTGCTGGTGAAGATAAGGGTGACAATTTTGATCCTAATGCGTTGGCCATTGACTTGCTTCAGGAAGTTGCCCTTCAGGTGGAGCATCAGCCTGAACCCAGCATGTGCAAGTGCAGTCCCAGCGTCAAACCGCGGGATGCCCTCAGTTCGGTTGCCCACACTAGCTGTGCCCACACAGAGCCTGAGCCGCCATTGCCTGAGGACCGCGCCTCTCGTGCATCCGCTGGCTCAAGTGCGGGTGGCTTGCTGAGCAGGTTGACTGCGCCTTCGGACTCCAGTTTGAGGGTTGACCTTGGGTTGGCCTTTAGTGATGCTGTTGGCAGGGTTTCTGATGGGGGCACGTCTGATCTTGTTATGCCGTGGGAGACCCCGCTCATGAGAGCTATCTTCAGTGATGACCCGGGTGCCTGTGTCTGTCTCAGCAGCAAGCCTCCTGCCATGGTCGGAAGTGTGCCGGCCTTGCCATTGCCCTCACAGCAGACTGGGTCGGCGCGACCTCACCGGGAGGTAGGAAGGGTTGAGCTTTCATTAGCCGCTCGAGCCGTGCAGCCGCTTAAGGATGAGGATGTTCTTCGTAAGCAACAGCGCATGATTGAACAAGGTGTCGCCAGGTGGCGGCTGATTTATGGCAGGTATTCAACTCGTGGCTGAGGCCACACCCGATGAGGACAGTATACTGGCATCCTTGGGCGCCCGTTCACCCCACACTATCCTTAAGCGCGCAAATGCTGTTCTTGCGTACCTTCGGTGGTTCGATGTTTTTGTGGAGGCAGGCGCTTCTCCTTTTGAAGAGGAGGCGTATTGGAAGTACGTCAAATTTATGAAGCGATCAGGCAGTGCTGCTTCTTGTGGAACATCATTCCTTTCGGGCGTCCGCTTTGCCAAGCACGTGGTGGGCATGGAAGAGCTCGATGACCCCTCCCGCAGGTGTGAGGGGGGGTGTGAACAGCTTGCGTCTGAGGCCGCAGTTGTCAAGCAGGCCGAGGCACTTGCCGTGAGTCAGCTCATGAGGTTCCATGACCTTCTTCGTAGGGAGGGGGCCGATGCGTGGGACCGTGCCTTCAGCGCTTACTGCCTTGTGTGTGCATATGGGCGTTGCCGTCAGAGCGACATGTCTTGGGTGGATAGAGTCGACTGGGAAGTCACAGAAGGCAGGCAGAGCCTGGTCAAGAAGGTTACATTGTGATCTACACGAGGCATCATAAAACGGCCAGGGCGACCGCCGCTTTGCTTCTGCCAATCATCATTTCAGCAGCGTCCGTGGACAACCGACCGTGGTTGCCGGCAGCCAGGCAGGCATTGGGAGAGGTCGGCCTCAAATTGTGCGGTTGGGTTAAAGGCCCTTTGTTCAGGCCCCTAGGACTTGACGGGGTGAGCCTGTGCAAGCGGGGGCGAGGTCAGCGCTTTCATCAGGCTTGTTCTCGAAATCGCGCCAGATGTGGCCGCGGATGGGCCCAGGTTCAGTTCGCGCAGTCTGAAGCTTCCAAAGCTGGTCTCAGCAGGTTTACCAGGGCTTGCTTGGGAAGGCATGTTCTGGCCACAGAGAGCTCAGAAGCCCTTTACAGTGTTGACCTCGGGCTCCCAGCTGTTCAAGAGTTGGAGGAGCTGCTTGCACACATCAGGGAAGGAGTCTTCTTGCCAGGTGCAGTGGCTTTCCCTTGACCCTGAACCTGGCCCCGGGTTGCTCGATCCTGAACCCGTGTGCATTGACGTCAAGGATGAGGCAGAGGCTAACCTCCCTAGCCATGAGAATGCGGATGAGAGGTTCATGATAACCCGTCGCCTACGGAGCCTGCACTCACTAGCTCTTCATCAGGATCCAGTAGCGAGTCCTCCTCCGAGTCGGATAGCCCCAACAAGAGGCCCAAGGTAAGTGGAGGCCCGGTGCAATTGCCGGCAACTCATGGGTGGTGCATGCGCCGTGTGTTTCGTGAGGATATGCTCCTGTGTGGGAGACCTCTCACAGCGGCCTATGCAGATGCGCCGGGGGCTGAGGATCTTTCGAACCTGTTTGCAAGTCATGTCATAAGCACTTGGCGGATGCGCAGGAGTGAAAAACGAGAGCTGAGCAACTGTGCTTGTTCTTATGTTCTGCGGATCAAACCGATCCAAAGCTGGTCCTGCTGCGGGCATGTGGGCATGGCCCTGCCACTTCTACTTCCTAGCCAACTGCTTGTCACTTTCGCTGCGTAAGTGTTGGTGTGGGACTTGGGGCTTTGGCCTGTCCAATGTATGTTATCATCGGCGTGTGGCGAGTGCCTGCCGAAATGTTATGGTCGGCATGGGGCCTTGGCCTGCCGAAATGTTATGGACCTTTGATTTCTACGAAATGTTATGGTCGGCATGGGGCCTTGGCCTGCCGAAATGTTATGGACCACTGATTCCTGCGTTTCTCTGCTGTGTACTTTTTCTCACCTAAGGAGCATGGGGCGTAGGCCTGCTCCCACATGTTTGCGAGGTGAAATGATGTTTGTCAGAGTGATGAGAGACTGCAAGCTTCCTTTGAGCTGGGCGTCATGTGCTTCTCATCATTGATGCGAGCGACTGCCTCAAGTTTTGTCAGGTTGGCTGTGATGAACTTGAATGATCGTTGTCCTCAATTCTTGTCAGGACTGCTGTTGCATGTGAAAGGCCGTCTGGATCTTCTTTCGGTAACTTGTTCTTCGCCGGTGTGTGAGCCATGACCTCCCATCGTGGACAGTGAAGCCCACTTTCTGAAGAGAGCGGCAGAGGTGTACATTGACCAGCCAACGTTGGATACCCTTACACGGCACGGATTCCGCGGCTTAGGGCAGTTGGCTTTTGCAGTAGGCCAGCCAGGGCAAGTTATACCCGAAGCGGACTTCCAAAGCTTCTGTAGGACCATTGTGCCATCGGCCTCAGCAGCATGTGTTGCCTCAATCCGACGGCTCCTCTTTGAGGCGCAGACGCTGGCGGTGCAGCAACTGAGGTTGCAACTGACATCTCCGGAAAGCGCTTCCAGGCATGTTTCAGAAGCAGAACGGGACAGGCGCATGACCCATCTCAGAAACACGTTGGTGGGGCTCAGCATTGAAGGGCCCATGGAGCCAGGACGAAAGGTTCTGGATGAGCGCGCTCATCAGGAGGCCGCTGGGCAACTAAAATATTTGCCGCCAGAAAAATGCGTCAGCAGGATGCACGAGGTGACCTTCTCGAAGAGTCCCCATAAGCAGATCAGCCTGGAACAAAACCGCCTAATAGTGCAAGACGAGTCGGACGAGCTCACAGTCCCGGCGGCATCAGCCCTGCAGGCCATGGAAGCACTCAAGAGACGTGGCGTAGCCTACGTTTTCGCACAAGCCGTTTCATGGGCGGAGTACGATCGCTCTGTGACCTTCACCGAGAAGCGCCTCCAGGATTTAGGCGTTGGGCGAGGCGCTCGCCTCGTATGAAGTGTCATTCTGTTTGATGCACCTCCCTTTCAAGGGCGCCAATGCTCCGCCAGCACGCCCAAACAAGCGGGGCCGGGAGGAGCAGCCAAGCAAGGGCCGTGGCCGTGGCCGCGCGTCCAGCGCCAAGGGCAAGGGTCGCAGCAAGAGCTCGCCGCCACGGGTTTCCATCCCCAAGTTCATTCGAGACAAAGGAGGAGTGGCCTCGTTGCCGAGTGGCGAGGCAGTGTGCTTTGATTTCAACATCCATGGAGATAAGTGCAAATGCAAGCCCGACACCTGCCCTCGAAAGCATGTGTGTGCCAAGTGCTTTGGAGCTTTACAGTAGCCACAGCCTGAAGGCCACTGCCCTTTCTTGGTGCACCATGTCCTATGAGGAGAGGCTCACACAGGGCCACCAGTGCTCGCCAAAGCATGGGATGGCGCTCCTTTACTCCAGGGATGCCCTGGCTGAGATTTTGACTAAGGTGGCCAGAGTGGTACGAGCCATTCAGCGGGGTGACTTCGCCCCCGACTTGCCTAGAGCAGAGAGGGTGGCCCGTGCCCTGAGTGAGGAACCGGATCGGTTCAAGCATCTGCCTGAGACAGTCGCCGATGACTTGCCGGACGACGACCCGGTGGATGAGAATGTGTCAGAGGATGGATCTGACGTTTCAGATGTTGGGGAGCTGTTTA